AAAAAAAAAAAAAAAGAATACACAGATCAGGGTACTTCATGCGACTTTTATTTCTGACGTTTCTTGGCTTGTTGGCTTCCCCACCCCCTCCAAAATCGGTTCTGTCCCTGAACACCACTGTCTGTCCATGAGTGCCAGTCACAAAGGCTCCAGCTCCCAAGTGCTGCAGACCCAGCATCACATGAGAAACCACATGACAAACTGCAGTCGGCTGCTGATGTGGTCAACTACTTCGCCCAGGCAGGGGGAGCAGGAGGGACACAAAGCTCAAGTGCCACATGCCCCGCTCCGGCGGCCAGGAACACATTTCCTTAAAAGAACAATGGGAAGCATGCCACTGAAGCTTGCCTGGGAATACATACATACTTTTCCATTTGCACACTTACAGACACTAAAGAGGCCGTGGATACTTGAAGACATTCTGAGGATGCGGTACCACAGACACAAGCTGGATGGCAGCAATATTATTTCTAGTTTGTATTAGTCAAAGCTGATTCCACTTAAGTGGATTCCTGAAAAGCACACACCACGTCTTCATAGCATGATCAGGCTTGGAAAACCAATTCTATTATCTCTCCCTGCGATCTGTATCTGAACCTGCATTCTGAATAATTTATTTTTAGACTAATAAGATGCTTGCCAAGACTGCTCCCTTTCTTCGGCAAGCAGCACAGGCAATGTTCACCCAAGTGGGAAAACCTTGTCCCTTTGTAGGGAGAAGAGAGGAGATTTTATTTTTTTAATGCAGTTTCTTATTTAAAGGCAGACATAGCAATGATGTTCTAGCAAGTAATCTTAAAAACAAGTGAAACGTTTCTGCTTCATTGAATGGACATGTCTCTTATTTGCAGTTTGGCATCTCATGCTGGCAAATGGTGGTGATATTTTTCTAACACTGTTCATGGCTGCAGCTAGAGCCCTTAAGCCACATGGAGATTGCTACTTCTCAGCAGGGTGAGAGCAAACAATTGCTTTCTGGAGCACCTTTCTGTGGAGGTGCTGCACTGTCAAGTATGTTTTACCAGTTACATTAAGGCAGATATGAGTGAGATGGCCTCAGGGTCTGTAGATTGTGTCACTCCTCCTGGAATTAGGTAAGTTGCCTATTTGGGAAATTGTTGCCAAGATGTGAGAGGTATGGCTTTTTAGCAAAATTGATTATGCCAGCTAACGAGAACTGGAGAATCGTTAAACAGGTGGGAGATAATTGTCTACAATATATCTTATTGAACTGTGTAGATATCAAGCTAAGTGGCCACCAGTTAATTTCAGATGCTCTTTTAGCCTCTCACTGTAAGAGTGTGTTAAGGATGGTCCTAGATACTGGGGTTCTAGTGATGAGCAAGACAGGCATGGTCTCTGCCATCTTGGAGCTCAAGATCTAGTAAATGCACACATCTTTGGTCCTTCAAGAAAACCTTTTCCCAATTTGAATTCTCCAAAGTTAACCAAGGAAGATATCCAGCAGTTACCTTCTCTACCCTTGCCTCTTCAGCATCCTCTGTGATCTCCCAAATCCTAGATAGTTGTTCTTTACCATCTGCTCTTGGATTTAAGATTTCCTCTCCATCCATTCCTAGAGTTCAAGCCCAGGTCCTCATGCCCTCCCACCCAATGATCTCCTCTCTGGTCACCCTCTTTTTGTTTCATTCCATTTGGCAGTCTGCCACCAAATGAATCCTACCAATCCAACACATTCATGATGTCCAGAACTACTGTGCAGATGGGCTAGACAACCCTTTGTCCAAAAGCAAGGTGGCTCCTCATTTTTCACATTCATACACTACCAGTCAAGACACTCTCTTATCTGATTATACATTGTCTATGTAAACAGATTGGTCTATTAACGATCTTCTAATCATATCCTCCATTGAATCAGAGAAAAAAAAATAGGGGCTTAATTTTATAAGAAGGCATAAAGCATTGTACAAGAAGCAAAGACACATGAAGCACTGTCCCTGCCCTCAGAGAGCATATACTCTATAGAGCCTGTGGAACCTTTTTCTATCATTACTGTTTATTATCTTCGATTGCTAGTCATTTCTTCAGGTTTTATTTCCCATGAAAATATTTAGTAGGTCTCAATCCACTTGCTAAATTTGGGTCAGGTAAGTGGTGCCATAGAAGGCCTAAAAAGGAAACAAATACTTCTACCTAAATCTCTGAGGAGGCTGCCAGAGTTCCTTGGGATTTGCAGTGAGCTATAAATACTTTGGCCCGGGAGTAAGGCGGGGTTTAGGTATTAACAGCAGTAGCAATGGCAGTTGCTAAGAATCGGCACTTAGTATGTGTCAGCATCTATTGTAAGCATTTTAGAGAAATTAACCTACTTAAATTTAGGAGGAAATATTTTTAACAAGTTATTTTCAGTGATATATAGACAGAAGCACAAAAGATAGGTTAAGTTGTCCAAACTGCACAGCAAGTCGGTGGCAAAACACACCTGGCCCTCAAGCACATGGTCTTAACCAACATGCTGTCCTGCTTTGGAAATGAAAGAAATTGTGGGAAGAAGACCAGATATGTGAACATACATACATATGCCTGAAGGTGGATGAAGGAATCACTGTAGTTCAAGTAGGGTATTAGTTCTGTAGAAGTGGGATTAGGTTGAGGAGAGCCACAATATAAAGCTAAGACATTACCGTCTTCATAAACAATGGGATCAACAACCAAATTGAAGGATAATAAGTCCGGTAGCCAAATCTAAGACTGAGGGGGGAGAAAGGGATTGGATATAAGGAGACTAATCATGAGGCTTCTGCAATGGCCTGGCTAAGAGGGAATGGCACCCAAACCTTGGTAGTGGTGAAAGAAAATTGAGATGGATGCTGGTGGTGTTACAAAGAAATGACATTATTGTGGTATTCTTGGAAAACAGAAGGTGATGGTAAAGCTTACTCTACATTTTTTGTTATTGTACTTTAGCTTCTGGAGTACATGTGCAGAACATGCAGGATTGTTGCATAGGTACATACATGGCAAGGTGGTTTGCTGCCTCCATCCCCCGTCACCTATATGTGGCATTTCTCCCCATGTTATCCCTCCCCAACCCCCACTGTCCTTCCCCTAGTCCCCCGCAACAGACCCCAGTTTGTGATGTTCCTCTCCCTGTGTCCATGTGTTCTCATTGTTCAACACCTGCCTATGAGTGAGAACATGTGGTGTTTGGTTTTCTGTTCTTGTGTCAGTTTGCTGAGAATGATGGTTTCCAGATTCATCCATGTCCCTACAAAGGACACGAACTCATTGTTGTTTATGGCTGCATAGTATTCCATGGTGTATATGTGCCACACTTCCTTTGTGCAGTCCGTCATCGATGGGTATTTGCGTTGGTTCCAGGTCTTTGCTACTGTAATTACACAGTGCTGCAATGAACATTTTTTATAGTGCAGATGAAGAAAGAATGCAGCTCCTTGAGCTTAGGAGTTGCGTCATTCATTTTTTTCCCCAGTAGCTAGCAAAGTGCTTGACATATGGTTTTAAAATAATGAATAAATGAAGGGGATGGAGGTAGAAATGGGAACACCAGAAGTGATGATGCCACACATAACAAAAATCTCTACAGTGAATTTAGGAATTCACAGGACATCTGAGTGGCTTATGCGGCTTGGCTTCTGTCATGCCATTACTTACAAAGAAACAATTTATTTTCTCTTTCCACCTTTGGCCTGGATTTCAGATGCTGCCTGCTTTCCCCCACCACACGCCTCGAATGCTTGTCTAAAGGCTGATCTTGGTCAGGCTGTTTGCTCCGCTCTGTCCCGCCCAGCAACTGCAGGCTCATCCTCTCTAGACCTGGATCCCTACTCAGAATGTTTGCGCTTATCAGGGCGATAAGGTAAGCGGACTAACATACTTCACCATTCTTTAATTTTTTTAAATAGCCAAGGGAGAAACCACAGACATTTATCAGCCGTCGCACACAATCTTAGCTAACCAGAATACTACAGTAATGAACGTACCTCATTTCTTGGGCAGTTAATGAAGGTTAATGTGACATACTGCCTCTGGCTGTGGAAGTAAAAAGGGGTGTTACTGCTTCATATTATAGCTGGGGAAAAGAAGTGTTAATAATCTTTCTCATCAGCAGTAAAGAATTGAGCTTTTAATACCCAGATATATTTTAGTAAAAGGCTAGTATATCATCTGTAAGTGGAGTTCAAGAGCAATGTTAGATAACTAGGGCATTTCAAGAGCCTGCTTATACTAGAGACCAAAAAAAAAAGAAGAGAGAGAACAAGAAAAAAATAGCGAAATACAGCCAAAGCTGAATTTATTCCAAGAAAAAAGAAAAATGTAAATTTATGTTGGAAGTGTTGTCATTTAGATCACTTTAGATCAATTTTAATCCTTTAAATAGAAGAAAACTTGGATCTCACAAATAAGTGATACTGAGTAACTGTATGAGCAGGGTCTTTGATTCGATGATGTTCACACAAATGCATTATGTGGACCTGCTAAGCTAAGGTAGTGTGGTAGGCACTGTCCAGGACCCTTACAGAGCTTACAATACACTTATCCAGGAAGACACTTCCCTTCCTTTTACAGAGGGAAGCTATTGCATTTGATGATTGTAAAAAATAGCAGGGAGGCGGGATAGAGGCAGTGGCTCACTCCAGCACTGGGAAAGGCCAAGGCAGGTGTATTGCTTGGGCCCAGGAGTTCGAGACCAGCCTAGGCAACATGGCAAAACCCTGTCTCTACCAGAAAAAGGTACAAAAATTTGGTGTGCACCTGTAGTCCTAGCTACTCAGGAGGCTGAGGTGGGAGGACCACTTGAGCCTAGGAGGTGGAAGCTGCAGTGAGCCATGATCATGTCACTGCAATCTAGCCTGGGTGACAAGGCAAGACACCATCTCAAAAAAAAAAAAAAAAAAAAGAGCAGAGTTTAGTTAAAAAAAAATAAAAATAAAAAGGGTATGCTCTTTTGATAGGGAGCCAACCCACCGAAGCCCCTTGTAGATCTTACCATAGCAGAAATAGCTTGCATGATGTGAATATTCTATGAATGTGACTCTTCAGTCCTTTAAGTGAGTAAGAATGTAAGAATGCTATGCTTTATGTGTGCAATCCTGCGAAATATTAATGATGTGCTGACAGTGTCAATAAAGCCAGGGTCTCTTAGCAGAGTTGCTATAGGACTTAAACTGCATGTCATGGTTTCTAACATCTTCAAAATGGATGCTGAATTAAGACGAGCCCTTCCCAAAGTAGACTGGCATAGTGACTAATTGCTGGCTGCTGGCGGAGGACTGATTTCCCCTCTCTCTGCTACGCAACGTTATTACCCTTGTCCATTTTACAGAGACCAAATGGCAAGTTTAAGGTGGAAGAACTGTGTTTGTTCACCTGTGAGTGGTTTGACCTTAGGCTTTGCAGAGCACTGTCAGGAAGTCGGTTTTTCCATGCTCTTTACAGTAAACAAAGACAGTGTGGCCGTGCTCCAAATGTTACAGAAGGTCAGGGACCAAACTGCCTCAAAGACAAAGACCGCTTCCAGAAATTGAAACACAAAATAGATGTGAGCGCCATCAACATTCCACACTGTGCTCCTGTTCATTCTCAGTGTTTGCTTCAAACAGTGTGACACATACCCAGCGTAGATGCACAATGGAAATAGAATCATAAAACCCCAGGTGCTGGAAAGCACCTTAAAAAGGTCATCTGGTCTGACCACAAATCTAAATTGTGAATGCTGCCCTTTAAAACCTCCTTCATGTAATCATCCAGGCTCGAGGGGAACACCACTGGTGACTATAAACGCAGGGCCCTGGGAGAGAGATAAGCCATTCCATCTTCTGAATGCAACAGCCTGAGTATTTAAAACCCTGGGCCAAGGCCGGGTGCAGTGGCTCACGCCTAAAATCCCAGCACTTTGGGAGGTCGAGGTGGGCCGATGAACTGAGGTCAGGAGTCCGCGACCAGCCTGGCCAACATGGTAAAACCTCATCTCTACTAAAAACATAAAAATTAGCTGGGCGTGTTGGCACACACCTGTAATTCCAGCTACTCGGGAGGCTGAGGCATGAGAATCCCTTGAACCCGGGAGGTGGAGGTTGCAGTGAGCTGAGATCATGCTACAGTACTCCAGCCTGGGTGACAGAGCAAGCCTTCATCTCTAAACAAAACAAAGCAAAAACCAAAAAATCCTGGGCCAAAAGGTCCTACCCCATGATAGTGGGAGCCTCACTGGAGCTTCTGTTTATTAACCCTTGATTTCAAAGTTTGGGAGCTCAAATCTAGTGTGATTTCCACATGATGGTCCCTCAGTTACTAAAATCTAGGGAGCTCATATCTAGCGTGGTTTCCACGTGATGATCCCTCCCCATCTATCATCCCCCATCCAGAATTTCTTTCTCTACACAAAATATCTGCAACTTCTTTAGACATTACTCTGTGACTTCTAGTCTATTTAACATTCAGTTTCAGAGCCTAGGAATAAATTCCAGTTGATGAGTAGTGCTTTCAATGATGTATCACACAGAGCATAACACAGGGTCCCATGATGTGGCTACACAAAGCAAAACAGGCCTATTACTTCCTTCATTCGAATTGATCCTGTTTCAGTTAGTGCAGCCTAACCTGGATTTCCTTTCCTAGTGGGTACCTCATGCTGCCGACTCTTACTAGGCTCACCTGTGCCTTTGTTCATACACTTTGACCTAAATCACATTTCTTTATTCTTTTTCTTTCCTAGCTACTCTGCACTTACTGGTAAGATATTTTAAATCACATTTCTGCCATCTTCAGACAATGCCATTGTGCATTTATTTGACTGGTTTTGTTGTGTTACTGGCTTGGGTTACCATATATGTCCAGATTTTAGGTATATTTTAAACATTTTTAAGCCAGGCACAGTGGCTCACACCTGTAAGCCCATCACTTTGTGAGGCTGAGGGGGAGATGACCTGAGCTCAGGAGTTTGAGACCAGCCTGGGCAACATGGGGAAACTCCATCTCTATGAAAAGCACAAAAATTAGCCAGGCATGGTGGTGCATGCCTGTGGTCCTGGCCTCTCAGGAAGCTGAGACGAGAGGATCACTTGAGCCTGGGAGGCAGAGGCTGTAGTGAGCCATGATTGTGCCACTGCACTCCAGCCTAGGTGACAGACTGAGACCCTGACACCAAAAAAAAAAAAAAAAAAAAAAAAAAAAAGGAAAAAAAACACTCAAAAAAAAAAAAAAAAAATTTGAAGGAAAGAAGTAGTAGTAAGCTATTCTTAAAGGAGTCATAGGTATACGTGTAAATACACGTATCTATCCCTTGTAAGATACAAGACTTTTGAGAGCGAAGTTCTTAGAAAGCGATGAGTACACCTTCTGTTTCTCATCTATCACAACAGCACTGCATAGAATAAAATAACTCTCATTACAAAAAATAGCCTGGCCTACTGGGAAAAATACTGGACTAAAAGTCAAAAGCTGTGGGATCTGGTATCTGTGTTGCTGTAGACTATCTGTTTATCTTTTATATAATTATAGAAAGGTCATTTTGTCTTTTTCCAGGCTCTAGTTTCCTTCGTTGTAAAGTGAGAATCTCTACAATATGCACCGTGAGCTACACTGCCTTCTAATAGTTTATATTTCTGTGGAATCTTCATTAAATTTTTAGATTTTTTAATACAATGGAATAAACTGTATATTAGCCAGTGGTTAAGCCCTGGCTAAAAAGTCTCCTATAGACTTTCATTAACATTAGATAAGTTTTATATTAAATTCTGTTTTAAAACAAGTGAGTGAGTGGCATGTTCACAAATCAAAAAGTTCTTATATCCAGAGTTCTTTTCTTTTATGCCAATTAGGGAAATTAGATAAGTCTGACTGGGGGTCCTGGAATCTTTAGCCTCTGATAAAATAACAGTTTTGAATAGGTGAACCAATTACTGAGATTCTTGGTGTAAGGAATAAATGTCATAACGTGATATCATCACTTTCCTATAATCCAAATGTCTTCTTAAAATGTCTTTAATTAACTATACAGAGAGCACCTTTAGGTTGAAAAGATGTAGTTTCTTTCACATTTTTTAACTAGAGCCATGACAACAGAGTGCCTTGATGTCTATCAGTAGTTCCTACAATGGGAATACTATTCACACTCGGAGCCGGGGGGAGGGAACAATGGCCTATGGTCATAACAAGAGAACACCAGCTCATCTTAAAATCTTGCCTTAGAGTAAAATTAACTGCATGATCCCATTCTAAGACACATGCAATCCTCGTAACCTTCACCGAGTACAACTGTTGGTCTTTTTACTGAGTATATTATTAGAGTATGCAGTTTTTCTCTTAGATCAAAAGAACTAAAATAAAAATAGGAATTGTGGGTTTCCTTTTCTCAAAATCTGGGCCCAGTTTTGGTCCAGCCTTTCTTTGTGCATGTTTCTTCACCATTCTGACCTCAGTACCATTCTCTATAAAACAGAGGAGGTCTCTCAGTGTCCAGGCTCTGTGCCCGTATGTCAGAAAGAAGGCATATTTTTTGGCTTTTGAAGATCTTCTGCTTCTAACAGGTTAAGTGATCCAAGCAGTTTATGATCCTTGAGATCCACAAGTCATACTGTATCTTAGTTTCTCTCGTTCTTAAAAGCCTCGTGGCAGAGACCCTAGTGCAATAATATTATCTCAGTCTTACATCCCTTTTTTGGGCATCAGGCAGAGGGCCCTCAAGCCAGGACCCTGGGCTTGAATAGCACTGGGCATGCAGCACTTCAATGAGCCTGAAAAAAGAAAGCCACAACTGTATGATGAACACATAGTCCAGACATAGAGAATGATGTGGAGATGGACTGATGCTTTCTGATGTTTGCAAAATATACCTAAATAGCAAATTGTTGCATAATTAAGTGCCCAATGGCATTTGATATGAACACAAGTTGTAAACATTAGCTTACTGTAACCAATATAATAGAGACTCTAAAATGCAATTAGCACAAATGACCACATCTCCATTCAAGTAGGAAGGTAGACTTTTAGAGGAAACCTTAAAATAATTAAAGTGGGCATGTTCAGGATGCCAAGTGCACACAGATATATCATTAGCTGCTAAGGCAGTGAGGCTTCCTAAAGCAACAGAGGAGGCAGGCTTATGCCCAAGGTTATACTGAGCATCTTATTGAAGTACAGCACCCCCACCCCTGCATCTGATGGCCTTTTCTGCAGGTCCCCCAAGATCAGTGCTATAGTATTACGGTGTCTATAGGATATAGATATATGGAAGGGAAGAAAAGGACAGCACACTGGAAAGAAAAGATGTTTATTTTTTACTCCATTTGACTCAATCCATGCTTTATGTAGAATTTGTCCCTTAAGGACAAAAACCTAATTGGGCTTTATTTTAAAACTTCTGAAACATGCAATAAATCACATGTGATTTTTTTTATAGGAGGTGTGACTTAATCATTGACTTTATCCTCATGAAAATAACTCAGCTTACATGAAACACTGGTTCCTGATCATCCCTTTTCCAAAACACAGACACACATACGGTTTATGTATAAATGGATATGTGTAGTTTTATTAACATCATAAAGTTATAAAATGTATATAACTGTACAAGTATGCAAAATTATACATATAGAAGACAGATTATCAACATAGATAATTTAATAGAGTTGGCTTAATTCTTGATACTCTGTATTCAAAGACAAAGATTTGTAATTACTGAGGATACTGAAAAGAATATCTTTTTCCAGCATCTAAGGAAAATTTAAAAATAATTATTCAAATATGTTGATATATAGACATAAAAGTAGCACCTCTTCATATGACTTCTTTGAAAGGAGAAACTTTTGTTTATATCAGTATATTAAAAAGGCCAAAATAATTTTCATACTCTTACTGAGGCTGGAAAAAGACACATTGATGAGTAAGTGGATTATCTGGTGTAGTAAATGTAAAATAATACGTCTTTTATTTGTATACGTATTCTTTCCTTAGGAAAAGAATGCGTCTAATAATACTGGACAATTAATACTTACTGCATGCTAGACACTGCTCTGAGCACTCCATGTTACTGAGTTAGGCACTATTTCAGTCTCCACTTTATAGCTGAGAAAACTGTAGCATCAGAGAAGTTCAATAACGACAAGGCCACAGAGCCAACACATGGGAGAGCCAGGCTGCATACTCAGGTGTGAGGCTCCAAAATCCTTGCCCAGAGTCCATTACCTGCCTTGTATCTCTTCTTTCTGTTTCTCTTCTCCCACGTGACCCCCAGCACCCAGAACCAAATCAAAGGCAGATCCTTCTCTTGAATCTGCTCAGGCCTCACAGTTAGTGTCCATGACACAGAATCGGGCTTTCTAAAGGAGTTTTGGAGATATTTTATCTAATTGTTGTAACAGCTCTGCCACTGTGCTATTATTCTCTTTTGACAGATGAGGAAACTGAAACCCACAGAGATTAAGTAACATCCTCAAGATCAAAAAGGTAACAAACAATGGAGGCAGAATTCAGACATTGTTCTTCATGATGCCAAAGCCTGTGCTCGTGGAATTACAGTCAGAGTACAACAGCTCGAGAGCAAAGCATCACATCGAAGTCAAGGAAAATCAGTACAGAGGTTTGGACAAACAGCGTCAACTCCCGGTATCTGGGTCAGCAGAAATGGCCCCATTGAGCAGCACTGAGATTGCAGGATCACACGTCACAGGCTGCTTCCTCTTTGGTTCTGAGCATTGGCCTCATGTCCACTCAAAGTAAATGGCCCCTCTGACTGGAATCAGAGGTGTCTGAGCCATCTCACAGAGCCAAACAAATATGACTTGCTGTTACAAAGCCTTTCGGGAATTATTCCCAGTGTAATAAACATATGATCATATAGCAAGTTTTGGACTTTAGATAAAGTCCAAAAACAAGGGAATGTGGAGTATCTAAGACAAAAGATTAGAATGTAAATGAAAAGCCAAATAAACTGGGGCACACTATAGGATAGAGCCCTGTGTGTGATGGCCTGTTTATGATGAGCCATAGAAAAGGATGGTGAATTCTGGATAATAAGAAATGTCAATGAGATGGAAAGAACCACCTGTTTTATGTAAAACTCCAAATAACCAGATCACACTGGACAGCCACTCAAATAATGCCTTCATAATACAGAGTATTACTGAGAATAACTCAATTCACAGGGAGTTTAAGGCAGCCAATATTTGATAGCCTGTCAGAAAAAAACAGAACGGTAATTACAGAAAAGAATCAAATCCTCGGAAAAACAAAAATTAATCAAACTAAGTTTGTAAAGCCTATGTTACAGACACATTGTCTGGACTGGTCCTCTCAAAAGTACTTTTTTTCAAAATTGTATGCCAATTTACTGAGTTAATTTAATGATTTTTGTCTGATTACTTCAAAACTGGAAATACTCTATGACTCATAACATCTTACAACCTTTCTACTTTCTTAAAGAATCTCAATTTTATAATGACAGGATTATTTTTCAAAAATTGAACAATAATGTAATGATTTCTGTGTGGATTGTAGAAAAATCAACCTTATGACAACTGCAACAGCTGCATGAAGAAATCTGAGTAATTCCAATCAACTTGAGATCATGTCTAATCAAACACAAATACAACTGATAAATTTCATTAGTGTGGGGATTAAACTAACATACAATTATGTAATAAAATCCTTTAGAAGTACTAAAATGTTAGCATAGTTCAGATATACAGAAAAATTTCAAAGATATACAGAAGTCCCATTTTTCCCTATTACTAACAACTCCTATTTGTCACAATTAATGAATAATCAATATACAGTATTATTAACTAAAGCCCATACTTCATTGGATTTGCTTCGTTTTGAGCTAACATTCTTTTCCTATGTTCCAGGGTTCCATGCAGGCTACCACATTATTTATTTGTCATTTTAGGCATGTCTTGGCTGTGAGTTTCTCAGACTTCCTTGTTTTTGATGACCCTGACAGTTGGAGGGAGAACTCGTCAGTTATTTTCGTAGAATGCCCTAAATTTGAGTCTGGCTGATGTTTTTCTTAGGGTTTGACTGAGGTTACGGATTTTGGGAAGGAAGACCACAGAGGTAAAGTACCATTCTCACGAAATGATCTTAAAATACATACCCTCAGCTTGCCTTATACTATTAGTGTGAGCCTTCATCACCCGGCTGTTTGTCACGTTTCTCCACTGTAAAGTTACTCTTCTCATCACCCACTTTTCTGTACTGTACTCTTTGGAAGAAAGTCACTATATGCATCCCAAACTTAAGGAGTGGGAAGTTCTGTTCTACCCACTTGTGAGCAGAATATCGACATAAATTGTTTTGCATTCTGCTGCATGGGAAAATTATCCCACTCTCCCATTTATTTGATCATGTTTCTTATCAGTATGGGCTCATGGGTATTTCTTTTATACCTTGGGTTATAATCCAATACTAACACAACAAATTTTTTATGGAGATTCATCCAAATATATTGCCAAAATGGGCCTGACACCTCTCTACCTTGGCCAAACAGAAATTCTGGATGTAGTGAAGCACTCTGGTGTCATGTGGACTTTGAAGGTTAAGAAACTATGGATTGTCAGGACACACTTGCTCTTCCATCTCACAGAGACAATGGGGATATATCTCGTCATTTCAGGAAACCTTCTTCCTAATATTTCTGATACATCCAGGATAAAATTCAATATTTATAATCAATAGCTTCAAAGGTAAGCATAATTTGTTTACTAGAATTCTTTTTTTAAATTGTACTTTAAGTTCTGGGCTACATGTGCAGAACATGCAGGCTTATTACGTAGGTATACATGTACCATGGTGGCGGACTGCATCCATCACCCTGTCATCTACATTAGGTATTTCTCCTAATGCTGTCCCTGCCCTATCCTCCCACCCCTGCTATCCCTCCGCTAAACCCCCACCGGCCAACAGTCCCCCGTGTGTGATGTTCCCCTCTCTGTGTCCGTGTGTTCTCATTGTTCAACTCTCACTTATGAGTGAGAACATACAGTGTTTGGTTTTCTGTTCTTCTGTTAGTTAGCTGAGAATGATGGATTCCAGCTTCATCCATGTCCCTGTAAAGGACATGAACTCATCCTTTCTTATGGCTGCATAGTATTCCATAGTGTATATGTGCCACATTTTTATTATCCAGTCTATCTTTGATGGGCATTTGCGTTCATTCCACATCTTTGCTCTTGTGAACAGTGCTGCAATAAACATACGTGTGCATGTGTTTGTATAATAGAACAATTTATAATTCTTTGCTTATATACACAGTAATAGGATTGCTGGTTCAAATGGTATTTCTAGTTCTAGATCCTTGAGGATTCACCACATTGTCTTCCACAATGGTTGAAGTAATTTACACTCCTACCAATAGTGTAAAAGCATCCCTATTTCTCCACATCCTCTCCAGCATCTGTGGTCTCCTGACTGTTTAATGATCGCCATTCTAACTGGCGTGAGATGGTATCTCAATGTGGTTTTGATTTACATTTCTCTAATGACTGGTGATGATAAGCTTTTTTATCATATGTTTGTTGGCTGCATAAATGTCTCCTTTTGATAAGTGTCTGTTCATATTCTTTACCCACTTTTTGATGGGGTTGTTATTTTCCTGTATATTTGTTTAAGTTCTTTGTAGCTTCTGGATATTAGCCCTTTGTCAGATGGGTAGACTGCAAAAATTTTCTCCCATTCTGTAGGCTGCTTGTTCACTCTGATGATAGTTTCTTGTGCTGTGCAGAAGCTCTTTAGTTTTATTAGATACCATTTGTGTGTGTTTTGGCTTTTGCTGTCATTGCTTTTGGTGTTTCAGTCATCAAGTCCTTGCCCATGCCTGTGTCTTGAATGGTATTGCCTAGGTTTTCTTCTAGGGTTGTTACAGTTTCAGGTCTTATGTTTAAATCCTTAATCCATTTTGAGTTCATTTTTGTATAAGGTGTAAGGAAGGAACCCAGTTTCAGCTTTCTGCATATCACTAGCCAGTTTTTCCAACACCCTTTATTAAATAGGGAATCCTTTCCCCATTGCTTGTTTTTGTCAGGTTTGTCAAAGATCAGATGGTTATAGGTGTGTGGCATCATTTCTGAGGCCTCTGTATTTGTTTTGGTACCAGTACCATGCTGTTTTAGTTACTGAAGGCTTGTAGTATAGTTTGAAGTCAGGTAGTGTGATGCCTCCAGCTTTTTTGTTTTGTTTTGTTTTGTTTTTGCTTAGTATTGTCTTGGCTATGTGGGCTCTTTTTTGGTTCCATATGAAATTTAAGGTGGTTTTTTTCCAATATTGTGAAGAAAGTCAATGGTAGCTTAATGGAGATAGCATTGAATCTATAAATTACTTTGGGTAGTATGGCCATTTTCACAATATTGAATCTTCGTAACCATGAGCATGGAATGTTTTTCCTATGTTTGTGTCCTGTCTAATTTGCTTGAGCAATGGCGTATAGTTCTCCTTGAGGAGGTCCTTCACATCCCTTGTTAGCTGTATTCCTAGGTATTTTATTCTTTGTAGCAATTGTGAATAGGAGTTCACTGATGATTTGGCTGTTTGTCTGTTATTGGTGTATAGGAATGCTTGTGATTTTTGCACATTGATTTTCTATCCTGAGACTTTGCTGAAGTTGCTTATCACATTAAGGAGATTATGGGCTGAGAAGATGGGGTCTTCGAAGTATACAATCATGTCGTCTGCAAATGGAGACAATTTGACTTCCACTTTTCCTAATTGAATACCCTTTATTTCTTGTCTGATTGCCCTGGCTAGAATTTCCAATACTATGTTTAATAAAAGTGGTGAGAGAGGGCATTCTTGTCTTGTGCCAGTTTTCAAAGGGAATGCTTCCAGTTTTTGTTCATTTACTATGATATTGGCTGTGGGTTTGTGATCAATAGTTCTTATTATTTTGAGAAATATTCTATCAATACCTAGTTTATTGACTTTTTAGCATAAAGGGCTGTTGAATTTTGTTGAAGGCCTTCTCTGCGTCTATTGAGATAATCCTGTGGTTTTTGTCTTTGGTTCTGTTTACGTGATGGATCACATTTACAGAGATTTGTGTATGTTGAACCAGCTTTGCATCCCCAAGATGAAGCTGACTTGAACATGAAGGATACACTTTTAAATGTACTGTTGGATTTGATTTGCCAGTATTTTATTGAGGATTTTCACATCAATGTTCACCATGGATATTGATCCGAAATTTTACTTTTTAGTAGTGTCTGTGCTTGGTTTTGGTATCAGCACGATGTTGGTCTCATAAAATGAGTTAGGGAGCATTCCATCTTTTTGTATTGTTTGGAAGAGTTTTAGAAGAAACGGTACCAGCTCCTCTTTGTACCCCTGGTAGAATTTGGTTGCGAAACAGTCTGGTCCTGGACTTTTTTTGGTTGGTAGGATATTAATTGCTGCCTCAATTTCAGAACCTGTTATTGGTCTGTTCAGGGATTCAATTTGTTCCTGGCTTGGTCTTGGGAGTGTTTAAGTGTCCAGGAATTTATCCATTTTTTCTAGATTTACTGGTTTATTTGCACAGAGGTGTTTGTAGTAATTTATGATGGGAGTTTGTGTTTGTGTGTGATCGGTGGTGATATCCCCTTTATCATTTTTTTATTGCTTTGTTTCTTATCTCTTTTCTTTTTTATTAGCCTTACTAGTGGTCTATGTATTTTGTTGATTTTTAGAAAAAAAAAAAAAAAAAAAAAAAACAGCTTCTGGATTTTTTGAAGGGTTTTTGTGTCTCTATCTATCTCCTTCAGTTCTGCTCTGATCTTAGTTATGTCTTGTCTTCTGCTAGCTTTTGAATTTGTTTGATCTTGTGCCTCTAGTTCTTTTAATTGTGATGTTAGGGTGTTGATTTTAGATCTTCCCTCACTTCTCTCGTGGGCATTTAGGACTATAAATTTCCCTCTAGACACTGCTTTAAATGTGACCCAGGAATTTTGCTACATTGTGTCTTCGTTCTCATTGGTTTCAAAGAACATCTTTATTTATGCCTTCATTTCATTATTTATCCAGTAGTCATTCAGGAGCAGGTTGTTCAGTTTCCATATAATTGTGTGGTTTGAGTGAGTTTCTTAATCCTCAGTTCTACTTGACTGCATTGTGGTCTGAGAGACTGTTGTTACGATTTCCATTGTTCTGCATTTGCTGAGGCATGTTTTACTTCCAATTATGTGGTCAATTTTAGAACAAGTGCAATGTGCTGCTGAGAATAATGTATATTCTGTGTATTTGGGATGGAATGTTCTGTAGATGTCTATTAGGACTGCTTGGTCTAGATCTGAGTTAAAATCTTTGATATTCTTGTTAATTTTGTCTCATTGATCTAATATTGACAGAGGAGTGTTAAAGTGTCCCCCTCTTACTGCGTGGGACTCTATCTAGGTGCTCCTGTATTGGGTGCACTTGTATTTAGGAGAGTTCGTTCTTGTTGCATTGATCCCTTTACCATGATGCAATGCCCTTCTTTCTCTCTTTGTTGGTTTAAAGTCTATTTATCAGAGAGTAGGATTGTGACCTCTGCTTTTTTTTTACTTTCTATTTGCTTGGTAAGCCTTCCTTGGCTACAAGAGGGAGTTCCCCAGTCCCTTGTGCAACTTGCTGGGTGAAACAACGCCCCACCCTGCTTTGGCTTCCCTTCCTTGGGCTGCACCTACTGTCTAACCAATTCCAATGAAACGAACCAGGTACCTCAGTTAGAAATGTGGAAATCACCCACCTTCTGCGTCAATCTCACTGGGAGCTGTTCCTATTTGGCCATCTTGCCTGGGGATCTTGTGCTTACTAGAACTCTTAAGGCTGATGCTGGATCAATACCTCATTCATTCAGAAATAGCCTTGGTGCTTATAACAAGATATTAAATAATCTGATATACTGATTTACATATAGAAATTTATGTACATAAATTATTTATGTGTATTTTTAAATATATATATTTATATATATATTACAATAATTATATATTATAATTTATATATGACTATATAATATGTACATTATATACATATATAAATATGTATATGATATATATTAATTATATGTAATATATAAACTATATAATGTATTATATATTATATGTAAATATATTTATAAATATAAATTATGTATTATATATTTATATATTACTATATTTTTATGTATTATAATTATATAGTATAAATTATAAATTATATATAAATATATAATATATATTTATATATAATATATAATGAATATATATAAATAATATATATGTAATATATAATAAATGTCTATTATATATTATATATAATATAATATATATGTAATATATAATAAATGTATATTATATATAATATATAATATATAATATATAATATATATATTATATACAATTTAATATATATCATATATCATATATATTATATATATAAAGTATATATATATTACATATATATTTATATATATACATGTATAAATAATATATATGTAATATATA